AAACGCAACAGTGGTGCAAAATGTGCTTTCTATTGACAAGGGACTAAGCCTGAGGGAGGAGAAGAGAGACTCCATGGTCCGTGAGCCATTATCACGTTACCAGAGCTCCTTTCCCCTCCTACATAGGATTAGCCATAGAGGATGATAGCGCTCATACTTCATTTGTTGCCTATGTTTTGCCCCAATTTTATTGGTTTTGTGCATCACCTTGAAACCACGCATCTCATATTCATGGTCTCATTGCTTGTGGAGACACTGCCGGAGACTGTGTGCAGTTTCGCACGAGATAAACATGGCTTTAGAAAGGTTAGAAGGAGGTTGCTGTGAAGAAAAACTCAAAAAGTTGGTTTCCATGATAGAGGAGGACAGAAGGGCAAGAACAGTTTTTGAGTAGACTATTTTCATAACAGGAGTAGTCTTAAAGGTTTTGCCCCCTTCGCTGCCACGAGCGAAGGGACCATGAAGCACGTTTTTCAATCCGCCGGGTTATGGCTAAAATGAAGACGTATCTTCCGTAAAAGATAGCTACGAGATTCTAGGTTCTCTGGCCCACGCAGTAGACAAGAATGGGGGTTTTCAGCTGAAGCGTCGCCGACTAAAAGCGAAATTCAAACTTACCATGATCATCAATGTCTTGGTCCTCATCGGTACTGGCGTTCCATAGTGGACCTTGTGGGAGACGCTCAATAACCTGACCAGCAACCACTCTGAAAAATTCCCGAATTTGCACCGAGGTCTAGACTTACTTCTCTGATAAAGGTTTGGCTGCTCCTTCACCTTTTCTACGCTTCACACAAGGAAAACCTGGTAAATGAAATATAGTTACTGGTCAGGAGAGAAGTAGTAAAATGATCAAGCGGAAATGTAATTATGCCACATTTTTGGAAATAAACCTCACTAACAGGATCCAGTTCCAAAGCACGCCAAGTATGGCACCCCCCCTCCCTACAGATTCCGGAATGCATGTTTGACCCTGCCCCTGATGTTTAGCCCGGGAAGCCAACCGGGTGGCCAATCTTAGTGAGGGGCGTGTTCCCGTGCACAAAATGCGAAATGGGAGCAAGCCTTCATAAAATTTGATGAGAACAATTATTTCCTGATTTAGGACAAGCTCTCCAAAAATTAACCCCGGTACCACATAAGGCTGCGCATCTTTCCCATGATGTGTGATGTTTTATAACATTGGAAACATCAAAGAACACATTTTGCCAACACATGCGATAAATATTTGTCTCCATCAAAATAAACGAAAGTGGATACCGTAATCCGAGTGCAATTGCGTCCTCGGTTGCTTGTTTCCGTTTCAACGCCACCTGTGCGGCCATCACTCGTTGACGTTCAGCTATTAGATTGCATTTCTCGCATGCGCATTCCCTAAAACACAAAATGAAGTTTGCTTGCCGTTTACGTAGTGGCACCGGCGCCTGCGCTCTGCTTGCGTGGGTGTTCGCAGTTTCAGTCCGCACCCGAAACTTCCAATCATTCAATACCGCCGGTGGATCGGCGAAGTTGACCCCTACATACCTACCCTCAATGTTTTTCTTCTCTACTTGATCACCTTCCCAGCTTGGGCTCCTGGACATGGCTAAGCTGCGAGTCACGGTACGGGATCAGAGACATAAAAAAAACCTTATCCGCTCGAGTTTCGGCTCATTTGGGACAAGTTTCGCTCAGGTGAAAAAAGAAACAGAATTATCTGCTGGTTCTTGAAAACTACCACCCTCAGAAACCCATGGTGGAATTCGAAGGTATGGCGCATACGATCTAATCGATCTCTTTCGTCCCCCTTTTCCCGTTTCTTCCCATGATCCTTAAGGAAGGCGAAAATCACCGTTGTTGTTGTGACTGACCTTAGACACAGTGTTGACCGATCATGAGGCTTCTCGGCCGTCGCCCAGTCCTTCGATGGTACTTCAATGGGGTTGCGCGAGCGCTTGCAGTCAGCCGTGGTCGCGTACTTTTCTCTATTCGTCGTTTTGTTTGCTGGTCCCACCACAAGCTTAACGGGGTCTTACCACCTCGAGTGTCCATCAATTGGTCGGATTGTCGCTCGCTGATTCTATTTACACATCACAAACGATTACCGTATCTCTCGCAACTCTAACCAGCGCTCGCACACACCACCACCACCACGGCGCAACGAGGCATGCACAACGGATACTGCGCAAACAAGAAGCATCTCTGGGAAAATTGACACCTTCAGAGCGAGAAATGGCTTGATAGGTCGTAAATGTAGGGCAAAGGGACAAAAAGCACGTGGTACTTAGTATGGACTAAAGTCCCTGCACTGCGCCATGCTCTCGTCTTCTGTTGGCAGTCGTAACAGTTTTTGAGAGGTGATGCTATTTACACATCCCAACAGAACCCGGTTTATTTTTATGCTAACTATAAGTTTTTTTTGACTGTCTCCGGTACAGGATGAAGCCAAACTGTTACCCCGATGATTCAGAAAAGTAGGATGAACTCAGCAGGATCCGATCCTATCCACGTTGTCGATGACCAGGAACGCCTTTACCTACTTCACCATCACTTTCTCACCACCTCATCCCAGCTGCTGAAAATGCCTATTCCCCTTTAGCTGCTGATTGCCACGGACCAGATCACCCGGTCAACTAAACCCTGGTAGATTTGGGAGCCCGAGACACCTTTTCGTAGCGCGATTAGCACCCGTCCGATAGCAACTGATGACTCATCGGCTGCCTGCCGTCGGCTACCGTAACCGCATCAAATTTCAGAATCATCTTAAACTTCACTTACTTGAAACGACAATGACGTTTGTGCCCTTTGAGCCACGAGACGATCCCGTGATTACGGCAACGTGCACATTTCGGTTTTCGTTCACGTTCCATACGGCCGCTGGTAAAAGTGATCGGAAAACCGCCCAGCATCATTTCTGAAAGTGCCAAATAAGCTCAAATACAAGAGCCAAAAGTGGCTTAGGAGCGGGGAGATGTCAAAGAAAAGGACAAAAAGAAGAACGAAATGCTCAAGGCAAACCACCGTTCCTACGCTGCGCCATGCATGTTTATCTCGTCTATGCAAAGAAGGAGCGATGGAAAGGAGACTAGAGAATCAAATTCACATGGTCTTTGTATGGTTGCGCATTCTTGGAAAGCAAAGTGAGAAATCAGTATTAATGCTTTCAGTAATCAATAGTCATGCTTCTCGAGTCCTGTCATAACTCTATCACAGCCTCTCCTGAGAGTCCAGCAGGATAGCCCCGAATTGGTCTTATGCTCTTGCCAATATCAGGATTCATTTTACATCATTCGCTTCCTGTAGAATGTTCCACATCCGGTTTTCACATCTGTGACCCAATCCATGAAGTAGTGCAAAATTCGCGCGGGCAGGAACGGACTTAATGCCACACTCTCCGACTGACTGTCCTTCCGGTTCGATGTTGTGTGATGCGCTCCGACTCGGCATATGACATCTGGCACAAGCAAGAGTCCGAAAAACAATTGCAATAGCACATATCCGTGAAGTGGCGCCCCATGCACATATAATCATCGGAAGGGGGTTTTTCTAGAAACTTTACAAGATAAGAGGATAGTAATTATGGAATGATCTCAGTTGGGGAAAAATGGTTCAGGGCTCACTCATAGAGCACAGGAGGGGGGACATCGACGCCACAGAGGACGAGAAAATACTTTCAACAAATTGTTTTTTCCAGCATAAATGAACACTATTCTTCGCAGAATGCAAGATAAGTGTGCAGCAGAGCAGCCAACAAAATGAATGACTGGCGTTAAATTGAATTCACATAACTATGGATAAGTTCTTTGTCATAAGTAAGTTTATCACCTCGCAAAAACCCAGAAACCGTCCTGAAAATATGAAGGGTAACAACGAAGTGCTCTCAAGTTATACACTTGAACTGTCAAGGTTCCACCGAAGGTGTTGTCTCAATTCAAGGATTTTCCCCGTCGAACCTTCGCATCAGAAGCGATATTTCTCACAGAAGTGGAGCCAGAAGATTGTCAAAAATAGGGTGCCTGATAAGTTGTGAAAATCGCCGATGGGGGTTTTGTTTGATATGCTCAGCAGTAACAGGAGAAAGGGAAACACGAGAAAAGCTCTAGGCTTTTGAGAGCTTTTCTAGGGCGAGCCTTTTACCGAAGAACGCGCTACACATGCTTAGGCGACTACATAACTGTGGTAGGCACATTTTTCTCTACTGTAAAGCACCTTCCTTTATATTTCACCACTGCTTTGAGCGCTAGAGCGGAGGAGTACTGCTGCGAACTTTCGACGCATGGAAGTACGTGTGCCGACTTTTTGTCACTGTCCTCAGACTCCGCTGGAATGCCATCTCGGCTTTGTTCTCGAACAACCCAGAGTTCAAATTCTTTGAAACCTGGGTTGGTGCTTCATTTGGAAATCTTCTTTATAGGAGTAGGCATTCTCAGTTCACTTCATGACACCGTATTACTTCTCAAGCTTGCCGTTCGGGAGGCGCTTACGACAACTTCGCACTGCAACATTACATTCTTGAGATTAATACTCGTAACTCAACTAGCCTCGACCATCTTGACTCTTTCAGGCTCGAGGATTTCCGAGCAGGAAGGAGAATTTGAAAAGAAGCACGGTAAGCAGGGAACGATTTGGTAATCTGACCGAGTTAGCATTGAGCTGAAGAGTACAACAGGAGCTTGCATCCTCGTGTGGTCACCACAGTTTGCTTGCAGTTAGGTCAAGAACAGTAAAAATCAAATCCAAAATATCAACAAAGCGCGCGTAGAAGAGCGACACTGCGCCACGTGAGTGTCAGGTTTTATCGGAAACGCTCTGAAATGCGCCTACACTAACCTATCCCTTCTGGCAGACGAGTAGAGTAACTGATCCCACTTAACAAGTTTTTCAAAAAAGCCCAGAAAGCAGGCGCATGTAATAATAAATCAACGGACTACTACGGGTCTGCGCCCTTGCTCAAATCACGGAGGGGCGGGCCAACACGTTGACACTGACCAATCAGGGCAGGCGTGAGGGGCGTGGCCGAGTGAATGTGTGCATTAGATCGCGACCGGAAATTGCGACAGCTTGTAGAATTAAACAAAGATATCGAAGCGAATGCCGGCCGTGGAGACGGAATTGCTGGCTGGCTGGTAAACTGAGTGCCACGCGAGCGCGCCATGTGGCGATAGTAAATGATATCGACGGAAGTGCAGCTACTTGTGCAGCCCTGGATCGCCTTATATCAGATAGAATGACTCGGGATCTATATCCGAGGAAAAGGCTAGGCTGAAAGGTCCCGCCCAAAAACGCTAACGAAAAATCGAATTTGAAGAAAACCAAGTTTGCTCTTAGAACCTCTCTATCTCTCTCAGCTCTGCCCCACTGATCTTCCACATAAGACCCTTTCCGAAATCTTTAAGGATAGGGGCTTTTTATGTACGTTGTGGTGGTGACAAAGATTTTAGTATTATCATTTCAGCTTGTTTTAAGGCTTAAATGTCTAGTTAAGCGTGTCTTGAGTTCCGACTCTCAAAGTCCATTTCGTTGTCGGCGATGAGTTTGATGCTTTTCCAGACACACAAGGTATGGCTAGCGGTTCCGCGCAACGCTCTTTCCCTGGGCCAATTGAACTCTTATCTGGTGAGGGTTCAGTAAAGGTATGGTGCAGCGTAAACCATGGTAGAGGATCTCTTGACAGATTTAAAATTGGAATTTTTGAGGGTTTGTGGGTGAGAAACATATTTGAGAAGCAGCACCGGTATAACGTAAGATTAGTTTTTTGTGCATTCCCGTACTCCCCCCCTTTACCCCATCTCTGCTGGACAACAACCTTGGAGGGAGCTTAGAGGGGGGAGGGTGCGTTGGCGAGCATTCCTCAGACACGAAGCTCACCCTGGTCATAATCCAGAAATGTTCCACCAATCCTCATCTATCTAGATACTATTACTATAGTTGCAACCAACGGGCGGAAGTGAAGTGGTGTTAAGTGACGCTGCTTACTACGTGCAGTGTCTGGAGGTAAAAAAAAAACATGGATCAAATCTTATCCAGGTCACTGAGTGCTCCAACCCCCCGCCTCAGTCAAGTAGTGCAAGATTTGTCTGGAAGCATGGAAAACACTGACTTGTTCATCAGTTAGCCCGCAAGCTACTGTACATGCCACTACGCATTTACAAACTCGCTGCAAACTTTTCCCTAACGTGGACAACCTTTCAATTCCAAATACGACCCCCCCCCAGATCGTGAATGCGACCCCCTTATTCGTATAGTGCGAAGGGACGGCTGACCCTTTTTTGGAGCAAATAGCATTGAAATCTCAACAGCTGGTCATGTTGTTGGCCGCCCCAGCACTCTTAACACAATGCGTCTATTGACCAGAAGCTCTCTTTATCAGTTGAGAAGTGTAGCTTAGGCCCTTCGCGAAAGGCTGAGCTTCTCCCAGGTGATCGAGACTACTATTATATTTATCACGCCTGAGGTAATCATTACCGAACCTCCGTAGTAACAAAAGCACGACGCCATTTTCTCCATCTTAAACCAAATGTGCGCTCAAAAATGCTTGTGATCTGATTATGATTGTGAACGGAAGGCGTGGCGCGATCCAGTACGACAAGCCCACGCAGAGCGTATCATTCTTTGATTTTATACTCAAGGGAGACTACTATTTGCAGATCATTGCTTATGGCGTGAGCGGTAAATATAGCATGGGGTACATTAATTCAAGCTATTCAAACATTCACCTGCTATCTAAACCTACGTACTGTCGAGAAGAGCTACCTAATGTTTATTCATCTTCATGGCCACCTATAAAATGGTTACTGCAA